ACTCCGGAAGCCCCTCTGAACCACTGTGTCCTGTTCATGCCCTTGAGACATATATCAATGCCACGGCATCCTTCCGAAAGACAAATAGCCTTTTTGTTTGCTACGCTGGCTCACGGAAGGGTCAGGCACTTTCTAAGCAGCGACTTGCACACTGGGTTGTGGATTTGATCTCAAAGGCTTATGCCTTGCAGGACTGGCCACTGCCGGCGGGAGTGAAATGCCACTCTACAAGGGGCATGTCGACGTCATTTGCTGCTATGACTGGGGTGCCATTGGATGTTATATGCCGTGCGGCCTCCTGGAAATCACCTAGTACCTTTACTCGGTTCTACAGGGTGAATGTGGCTGCGCCCCATCCGCTTCAAGGAATCCTGGAGCAGCATGCCTCTACATCACATTAGGTGGGTGGTGTAGTCGTTGTTCCTTGAATGTTGCTGATTCCTCATGACCTTGTTGATATGAGTCATCCAGTGCTTGAAGCACCGCCTCTGGCAGTCAGTAGGGATGAAATAGAACGAAAGTTACTACCGTAACTACGGTTCTATGAATCCCGGATGACCGCCAGAGTGATTGGTCCCTCGGAATCTCTGCTTTCGCGAGAAGATTGAGGGATTGATTGCCGGGTGCCACGTGACTATATAGAGTCACGTGGGTCCCCGGCAGGTCACAGCTGACTTTGTTGTCATTAGTACTCGACCTGCGCGTGCGCAAGAATGATCATTCAGTGCTTGAAGCACCGCCTCTGGCGGTCATCCGGGATTTATAGAACCGTAGTTACGGTAGTAACTTTCGTTTCTTTCAAATGTATTCATGCAAAAAAATGCAACAGAAACAAAAATCCAAAAACATAAATCCACTGAATCCACAAAATACTAAAAGCCAGCACTTTTTATATTATTTATTGCTTGATCTAATTTTACCCATAGTTATTATTTTTCTTAAATTTAGCTTATGTGTTTCATGGCTTCATAGTTATCTTAAGTTATCTATTTTGTAGTAATTAGATTTATTCCCATTAGTTACAGGTAAACCCTGTTGTTTCCTTTTGTTACTCTTTGTTTCCTTTCCTCTTAGCTACTTTGAAGCTCCTTCTATCCACAACTGCTCCCAATTAACTGATTGCTCCATTCATTGTCCTGTCTCCCATATATACTCCTCCTCTGCACGGCTGGATTCTCTTCATTTTTTTATGTATGTATCTCTCAATTGTATCCTTTTTTTTGGTTTTTGACTTATGTTTCTGTTGCCACCGAATTCATCATTAAACCTACAAGGCACCATCTCTGCTTCCATCTCTGCTTTTGGGTCTTCTACAATCATCCACTAAACCTGACAAGTTCAACAGGAATTCTACGCAGTATCCATCTGGGAAGGCTCCTTCAAGTGACATCTAGTACAGTGGGATAGGTAACCAAGTAGCATCTGCACCCCCTGTTGAGCTTTTATTCAATCACAGCTGTGTATCATATTCTACTAGCAGGGTTAACTGATAAATCAAACTTTTACCAAATCCAGGGACACCCAAACATCTTCCCCATCCCCAATTAATGACATTTTATTTGTTTCCAGTTAAGGCCAGCTAAGCCATCTTTGTTTTACTTAATCCTTCCACCTCTATTTGATGCGTTGACGTCATACAGGTCACTGCTTTTCATTGGTTCAAAACATGTGTCCAAGCTAATGCATCAATTAGCTTCTGGCATGTATTTTCAGTAGTAAGTGAATTCACATTCATTTTGCTTACAAGGTAACCCCTCAGCAAGTCTAATGTAGTAATTGTAAAGAGGCACAGTTACAAAATGTACACAGGAAATTCCATCATAAAAAACTGTGATATAACGAAGCGACATTGACATGTTTGATCTGCATCATCACTCTGAAAAAAGCCCATCTTTGCACTTTTTCCCTCACAGCTATATCTAAACAAGGTATGCAAACCATATGGTGCGGGGGAGACATCTGCTGTGATGGGTGGATAAAAGCATCCATAAAGGTGGCAAATGAAGCTGCCACTGGAAACACGGTAGTTGTATGTATTTATATATTTTTTTTCCTCTTTTCCCAGTTATTTATAGTCATGCGACAGTGGATGGACTCTGCTTAGACAATGGAGCCATCACTGGGTGCCAGATCTCCAATCCCACACATCCACAGTAACGACAGGGTGCAGCCAAGCATCCTCAGCCTTCTTGCTTTGAGTGAGCTTCTGCACTCACGCTGCTCAGAGCCCACAGTGGAAGCCGGAGGGCACGCAGGGGCTCGGGCTGAGGAAAAAAACTCCGCCAGCAGTAGGCAGAGGGCATGAAGCTGGGGGGAAAAAAACGAAGGGGGAAGGGTGCGGAGGTCAGGCTGGAGAAGATAAGCGAAACTACACTGGAAAAAGTATAACCTTGCTCAAATTAAAAGAAATGATGTCCAGAATATTTGACTTCACAGAATCTGAATTTAATAATTTGCTATGACCTGATTATTTTATATTGATGTAAACAATAATACTGCACTTGAGCCAACTTTAAATGTTTGCCCTGTTCCTAATGATTTTCTGAACATTTCAGTTGATGAACCAGACTAATATGTTGAAATTGAACCAACCTAATGTACTTACTTTAAACTAAATTAACATGAATTAATGTTTGTATTGACACTAGTTAATAAATTAAAAAATAACCAATTTATAATTTTCACAGTTCATTTGACTTTAAATCAAAAATAATTTCCATTTCCCATCTTACAAACTCTATAAAAAACACCTGGATTACTTTAAATGTATTTAGTAATTGTTAATATAGCCTTAAATGGTGTAAATCTGCTCTGAATGCATGCAAAGCGCAATTCACATGTGACTCAAACATAAAAAATGACCTGCAGGTCATGAATAAATATATACATATTGAGAGAAATCAAAAACTTTGTTTTGGGTTCTTTGTACGTGTATTTAGTTCAGGTTGAATTAAACTTGATGACTCAAAATCAAAAAAATTATGAGTTACACAATCAAATCAATATTTATATCCAATTTACAGTGACAGTCATTAGTTTGAATGAACAGTTACATGTTACACTTTTTTCAGTGTAGAGCAGAAGACTGCTTTAAGTTTTGTTGATGGTGACAATAAAGGCTGGAGCTAAAGATATAATAGATTTATCTATGAGATTTACGACATTAGGATTTTTTTTTTTACTAAAAAACATAAATGTGGTTTTTCACTGTTTGTTTGTTTTTTTTATGATCTTATTAGTGTGTTCCTTAAGGCAGTGGTTCCCAAAGATTTTCTTCTGGGCCCCCCTTTGGATTACAATAAAACTTCTACGCCTGTTTTTTGCTGTAGATCTTCTCAAATCTGGGTTGCAGTGTCACAACTGTCCATTATGCTCAGTCAAGCAAGCGCTGTTTTTTTTTTTTTTTCTTCATTCATCCATACCGCTTCCCGCGCCCCCCCCCCCCTGCAATGGCATTGCGCCCCCCCTAGGGGGCGCGCCCCACACTTTGGGAACCACTGCCTTAAGGGATCCTCTCTGCTTGGCCTAATCGAGCACAGTAGATTCAAACTCCCACCAGTGACTTTGAAATCAGCAGTCTGCTTTGCTTGGTCAGTCAGTAGGTCTTAAATAAAGGGAACATTTCCAGTCATTAAAAAGTGTAAAAACAGGAAGTCACAGTAAATTGAAATAATATTATTATTCTGAATTACATTAAATTATGTTCCTCCTACTTCCATATAAACTGAATGGTCAAGTAGCAGATAGAGCTTGTGTGTATAGGATGCGATAAAGCAAAGACTTTTAGAGTCAAACTAGCAATGGGTATTATATACTAGAGCTTCTAGTATACCAGTTTAATTCCGCTCCAGTATGAAGAGGAGATTGTTATATACACCTGGGGTTTCCTCTACCTGTTCTTGGTTGAGGGGTACAGACATACGTTCTGAATGATGAAAAAGAAATATCCAAGAGCATATGATGGAGCATTTGTGCAATTAATCTAACTGTTAATAGAGTGCTAACTGAATGTGAATATAATAGAATGTCTAAGTTTAGTTTGGTTTAGAAACCATTATCTCCGGCTATCTGTGCAGGTAGCAGGGTTATCAAGCTAATTGGTGGCTATAGTTTGCTGCGCTGCTCTCGGAAGGAAAGCAACACTAGACTACAATGGATTGGTGGCAACCTGGAAAACTTTGTCATTTATCATTTGTGTTTATTTTTACTTTTTCAGTTTTGTGTTATTTAAATTACTAGTGTAAACTTATCAACTCATTTAATTGAAGGGTATGTAAACTTTAAAGTACAACTGTATATATATTCACAATGTCTTCAATTGTCCACGCATTAGTTGGCATATATGTTTTGAAGTTTTTTACTCCACAACAGAAAAGGGAACGATCTTGTTATAGTCAAGGTTTGTGATAGACATTAAAAGTACACAAAGCCTTTTGGGCAAACAAAGCGTGTTTGGCCATAATGGGTAGCAGCTGATGAAATCTTTGAAGCATAGACATGGACAAGTGATGATTTGGGCATGCTTTGAGGCTAAAGGACTTTGGCATCTTGCAGCCTACGCTAATCATTTTCTTTTGACTAAAGTCAACTGTGAAGCCACTGTAGTAACAAAGCGTTTTCAGGAACTACGGAGTGTACACTTTATCTAAAAGCTTCCTTTTTTTTTGTTTTTACGGCACTAGGGGCAAATTTTTATAGACAGTAGGCTGACAGGAAAGGGGGTATGAGAGAAGGGGAGAGGCATGCGGCGAAGGTTAACAGACCCGGGTCATCCACGTCGAGGACTAAGGCCTCCATACATGAGTGGTGTGCAACAACCACTGCGCCACCAAAGCACATCCCCTCTAAAAGCTTATATATTTTGAAAAGTTTCCATGTTCCTTTTAAGTAAACATGCAGTTTCAAGTCATGCTGCAGCTGCACAGTACCAGGCAGATATAGTCCACTTGTGTTAATATGAACAACTGACTGATGGTTGAAGTAGGGAAGGAGACACTCACATGTTTAGAGAGGTTGTCACTCTTGCAGTCCAAATCATACCTGCAAAATAGAGCAAATAGACCACATGAGAAGTGAGCTGAAACAAAGATCTAAGCTGGAGATCTCTACAGAACAAGCCACCAAAACACAAGGTAGAGAATGTGGTCTAGAGTCAAACATGACCTATAGTGTAAAAGCTGGAAATACTTTCCATTATTGTTATTGCAACAATAATGGAAAATAATTCACTCTATATAAATGCGTTTCTCATGTCAGGTGTTCCTCTTCTATTCCAAATACATCACAGGTTGTCATTCCCCTTCTCCTCAGCCCTTTTCAGTCATCTAGCACCACTGTTTTCCACCTGCCTCTTGCTCCCCAGATAGTACTATACATATTCAGTGCATACACTCTATGCCATGCATCCCATCTTTTATTTCCAGCTGGTTTCTACTGTCTAATTCATTTGGTGCATTGCTTCTTTGATTTTCTTTAAATAGTAGTCTTAACATATATATTGTTAGACTTGTATTTTTATAACTTGCTTGAACTTATGTGTAAGTTTTTTACTTTCATGCATTTTCACAGATAACTGTATGGAATTTTGCTGTTTTTCCTGTCATTTTCATTTTTAGTCACAATTTCCAACACACAACTTACCTTTAGACACAACCTTGGGAATGCTTAAAACTTAAGACACTTGCTAAATATTTTACATAGTGCTTCATCTGTGATGAGTTTGTACAAATTATTTTTGAGTGCTGCACTCTGGGAGTACTCTAGCAATCAGGCTTTACTTTATTACATTTGCTGATGCACATGGTCGGGTGGGATGAAGTGATGCTGAGGAAATAGATGTTTCTCATACAGTAAAATCTTCTTAAAACAGGTGTTCACATTATTCATAATGACGGTGTGACACCTGGACAGATACTTTTGTGTAATATGCAAGTAGTGAGCAAAGGTGCATATTCCATAGGGAACAGGATACAATCAATAGACCAAAGAACAAATCATCCACACCCCCACGACAAAATCGTTGCAGCTTATGGAGTGAATTTTGTACCATTATTGTTGCAAGGAAAGAACAAATATTTAGAAAGAAAAATTTTATCCAGAAATAAAACTTTGAAAACATCTTAATTAAAATAATGCTTTTGAGAGTAATTTAGCTTATTCTTCATATTTATTTTTTTAAACATTATTTACTTTTTAACTATTTTTACATAGTTTTTTTATTTTTCAAATTTCCTTTTTTTTCAGATTGAGTGTAACTAATTGCATCCCTTTCATATTACCTTTTATATATTACTTCACTTCAATCTCTTGGGTAGGCTTTCCTCTGTAGGGAGGAGTGAAGATGTTTCTATTGTCTGCTGGATGTTAGGTACGATCAAGAAAAATGATACAACTGGCATACAATCTAATACAAACAGCATAAAAATAAAACTGTGAATTTCTCCGCTGTGAGATCAATAAAGCTCATCTAATCTAATCTAACTCACCATTATGTTGAATTAGTGGGAGCCCTGAGCTTGTTTCTCAAGCCGGAGACAATGACACGTGATGTGTGCTCCTGATGTCCAGTCTGCTCCGTAGCTTTGTTTTGGTCGCTGTAACCGCGTAACCGTAGAAAATCCCGCTTCACAAAGATAGGATGTTATAGATAGGATTCGTCTTGACCTGAATTAACCTGTGTCAAGAGGCGCAGATCCACCGACTGATGTAATGATGTAATAATACCGCAATTTTTTATATTTTTCAAAATAAAACATTACTCAGACTCTGATCGGCGATAAATTTTATATATATATATATATTGTTAAAGAAAAATTATTATTTTTAGTCTTTAATACAGTTAATCTTATGGCATGTGTAAAAGGTATGTTGAACACTCTCATTTTGAACATATTTCTTAATTTTGAACAAGGTTGTGTTAATGATTTAAAACTAAGCTATTGAGGGGTAAGTATTTAAAGCACCAGGCTATAAAATGAGTATCTCCTGGGGGGCGAACATTATTTGAGCCTGGAGGAGAGATTTCTCCCTGGTTTACAGAAGGTCAAAAGTCTTCCAGAATAAACATCTGGGATGGTGTGAAACTGAATACAATGTAGAATGTTAAAAACACTGACATTTAGTTTTTAAGACATTTTTCTAAATATCAGAATCAAATGGAAATTGTTTGAATGAAAATGTTTTGTTTAGTATTAGAAAATTGCTCAGGATCTATGCTTAATGGGGTAATGGAATATGTTAGCTTGTATACTTAGGATTGAATATTATGTTTCATATGTGAGAAAAAGGAATTGTATCTCATGTTCTGTTGATTCTATGTGTTATTTTTTGGTTTAAGGCAGGATTCAATCTTTTGGGGTGAAATGGTGCAGAAGAGCAAAATTGAGTTGTGAAGATAACCTTTCCTTGAACCAAAATACTGAATTTAAGTTTGTTCTTGAGATTTATGGGAGAGGCCTCCGCATTCCACATCGATTCTGTGAAACTTTATCTCATGTTAGCCAGATGACCTTAGAATCCCTGGAGGCCCGGTCGTAAATTAGGGGAAGAGTGTCAGAGATGGCTCCTGGTTGGAGGAGCAAGGGCCAGCCTTTTTTGAATGGATTAGATACAAGAGGATAAAGCTTTCTACATAGATGTAACAAATCAGATTTGCTCTTGCAACTCTCCAAAGATGTCTTTGTACGTCTTTGCTTTCTTTTCTTCTCTCCATTTATGTCAGGTAATTGAATGTATGTCTCTGTTGTTCTGCAGTTTCTGGTGTAGGTTTGTGCATTGTCTTATTTCTAAGTTTATGCATTGTCTTATTTTGGATTAAACTCTGTAATTCTGTGACGTCAACACGCCTTGCTGGTTTTCATTGTGGCTACACGCAGCTCGCCGAGTGGACCTGGGAAAGGAAGAATGAAAAGCCAACCTTTTTCCAAAGTTAACTATTTTAGAATATTTTCTTCCTTAACAATATATATATATATTTTTTTCTGTGCAGCCGGTGGTTGGGGACCGCTGCCTTACTTGCCCTAACCAGTTGTTTACACTGTGGCCCAGCCCTAATTTGAGACAAAATTACTTCACAATCAAATTTGATGTCATGCATTCATCTTCTCCCATGTATTCCATCAGGGTCGCTGTGTGGCCGGCGCCTATCTCCGGCTGTCAACAGGCAAGAGGCGGGGTACACCCTGGACAGGTTGCCAGTCTCTTGTACAACAACACAAAGACACCTTCAGGACAATTTTAGAGATAAAATTAACCTAACAGTCATGTTTTTGGACTGTGGGAGGAACCAGGAAAGAATCTACACATGCACAGGGAGAATATGCAAACTCCATGCAGAAAGACGCGGGCCAGGAATCAAACCTAAAAACTTCTTGCTGCAGGGCACCGGTGCTACAAACTTCCCCTGCGGAGCGACATGTGATTTCCCTAAATGTTTAAAGTTAAACTAAAAGCTATCATTTTTTTTATTTCTACTATTTAAGATGAAATGTCCATCAAAACTGTGTCCCGTAATGGTGTTTGTTCATGTTTCCCTTTCATGTATATCATGTGAAGCTTTGCAGATCCAAGCAGATGACATTGGAAGTAAGTCAAGGCATTTAGAAAACCATTTAGGAACCTGGTTTCACAAAGTGAAACAACACACACACTCCACTAACTCCATCTGGCTAGTCCCTAATTCTAAGTAGGTTGACTTTGAAAAGATTATTAAAACTTAAATAGTGCCCTGGTTTGTCTACAACAGCAAAAACATTAATAAACAAGCATATATGTTATGGCCACAATGTATCAGATAACTGTACATTTTCACAATAAGAACCTTAGCTAGCTTTAAAAAAATTTTTTTAAAGAATTTTAAAAATAATATGAAAATGGTTCTAAAAATCTAAAAATACTCTGTGCCATGATTCAAGAGCCAAACAGTTCTACAAAAGATACACTCGAGACAGAGAAGCATAAACTCAACCATGTTATTGTTCACAAATCTGTCTAAATCTGTGATAGCGAGCATTTCTTTGCATTGATAATCCATGCCACCCTGCAGGTGAGGTAGGGCTGCAACTAACTATTATTTTAAAAATCGATGAATCGGCCGATTATTTTTTCGATTAATCGATGAATCGGACAAAAAATATTTTTTATATTAACCTCTTTATTCCAAAATAAACATTTTAGACAGAACAAACAAGCACACAAGTACAGGTCGCTCATTAACTGTACTGGTGCTATATGAAAAATAAATGTTTGTGTTAAAACTACGCAAACTTACATGAGAAATGTAGCTGTACATACACAAAATATAGGGTACTTTGTTTCATAAAGCGCAAAAAAAGACATTTTTTGTTTTTAATAGCCCCTAAGGGGTTCAAACAATAGGTCCCCCCATTTCAACAAATGAGGTTTTTTTTAGACTAGAAGAGTTCTGCCTTTTAAGACAGGAAAGTATAGCAATTAAAGTTGCTACTTGAGAAAATACTGAACCATAGAGATAAAAATAGCCCTGTGATTCAAATTATAAATTGTATTTGGAATAAAAATGAGAGAACTAGGGGTGGTAAAAAACACATCCTCCAAAGACAGATATTTACATGGGAATGTGGCAAATATAATTAATTGACATATTACTGATCTTGCAGGATTTAATTCTGCTTTACTTCCATAAATTGCAGGATCTTCTTTACTTTATCTTTGCCAGCAGATTTAAACTTTAAAAGCCTTGCCCTCATAATTTGCAAGTTAATTTATTTATAAAGTAAATATAAACGCTGCTTAAGCTAATTCAAATGAAATTAAAAGTTAAATAAGTAGCCAACCTTATCACTGTCTGTAACCTACTAACACGGTAAGGAAAGCATCTGATGAGCTACCTGAGAATCTAATGTTACGTTTCCCCACTTTAAAACAAAACAAACATGGTGCTTCCGTGCCATGTTAATTTGTTTTGACAAAAGTTGCATGTTACGACTTTTTTTGCTTTACAAAGCGCAGGCTATTTTAATTATTGTGATCAATTTGCGCCGTCAATCCCGGCGCATGCGCGC